CATATTAGATTATTACGATACAGGAACAAACATGGCCTAGGTGACTGGCATGTGACAGATGAAAATCTGGATCACCCGAATTGCGTTAGTGTCGGGAAGCCTTCAACGTCTTTACAAGTCACCAGCTCTATAGTCCGTGGTGCATTGTCTGCAGAACCGACCACGTCCGCAAGATTTGTGGTAGATCAACTTCGTCACCAACCCAAGATGACTGCGTCCTATCACGTAATGTATCGTGCTAAGGACACGATAAAAAAGATCTGTTTTCAAAAAATTCAACGCAAATTACTCTTTTACCACGTCTAATGTCGAATTTTTAGTGTCTGAACCCAGGAACACTTACGGAGCTCCAATGCGACGAGAAAGACACTTCCGCCGGGCAATCGTTGTACTAAACTTGAAGAGTTTTTAAATGACCAGGGGATTTTTGTTGTAAATGCAGATCACATGAAACACCGCATATAAAACGGGGTTCAGTTTGTATTTACCAGTCGCGACGGAAATTTCAGTAACACAATTGCTGCAATTGCGCTCGTCCCTGTTGAAGATTACGACAATTACTTGTGGTTTTTTTGCCATGTCATAAAACAATGTTTACCACGGACTACGAGTCCCGTCTTCAGTGATGGAAATGCTGACCTGATGTCTGCCGCAGAAAAGCTCAACCTTTTTAACACGTTCTGCATTCGTCACATTGTAGGTACGTAAACAGCCAAATCATCAGCAGTTTTGTTCCAACTTGTCATGTATTTCTGCACAGGTAAAATGAGAAATAACAAATTGGTACGGCTATTGGTCACCCAAGAGAAGTTCGTATGGGAAGCGAATGCTGCATCACGTCGATCTGATTTCGACATCGCGATAAACAAACTATACGCGATCAACTCAGCTGCTGCTATCTATTTAATTGCGGTAACACTTCGTAAGTGGACACTTCACGTACATTACGAAGCAACTACTACTTTACGGATGGCGAACGACCAACTTTGTTGAGAGTGAGGAAGCAAAAAGTCTCCGCCTGAAGCCACCATTTATGAAGCCGTAAGAGTTTTCAAGGCCTACACGACGATTATGATGGATGGGTGTTACAGAAGGTTTCAATTGGGCATGCTATAGAGGAAAGAGGGACATACAATCACGCCTTGAGCCGGGCAAAAGTTGCAGAAACAATTCATGGATGCTGCAAGGTATGGTGTGACGTTCGGTTTTAAAAACGTAGCCTTCGTCGCTCGATTCAGCAATCAACTGGAGCAATACCGTGTTGACATCAAGAAAGCTTCATGCTCATGTGAAACATGGAAGCAGCACAAAATTGCGTGTCGCCATTTGATCGCGACCTAAAGGGCGGTCGATAAGCCAAAGATTTGCGTGCGAGCTGATGAGTAATTGTTACAAAGTTGCGGCGTATCAAGCGAGCGTCGGTAAGCTTGAGGTTGCCGAGGACCACGTGCTAAAGCGTGATTTAAGCATCCTAACCGCAGTTTATATTCGACAAGACGGACGCCCGAAGAAAAGACGTATCAGGTCACAGGGTCAGTCTGGTGGTAAAGCAAATCTGGTGGGAAAGCAATGAAGCCTTACAAATGTAAGCGGTGTGGTACATCGGTACACAATAAGGCTACATGCCGCCTTTATTGACGTTAAACTACCGAGTAGGATCATCGTAGCGCTATGATATGGTCTAACATGAATATGGTTGAAATCAAACTTAAAGATGTATTGTGACTGTGATATTGCTGCTGCAGTATCGACGTTTAGCTGATGTTACAAGTTAGGATACAGGTGACAGCACAGGTATCGAATCTCACTAACATTAAGGACTCAACGAAGATCGTCACCGAATTTTTAAACGTACAGCATCAACACGTAGGAACCACGTCTCGACTGTGTTGACTGACTGTTTGTAGTACTCTGATCGGTCGATCGTTGTGGTAGCCTGAAGCTGACATCTGGTCGGCGTCTTGGGATTGCAAAGGATCTTGCTGCTCGCCTGCTTACTGATGCTTGTCCTTCTTCTTAAAATCTTGACGAAATGGCCGCAACGTCCTTCGTGATGCTCTCTTTGTTGATGTAGCCGTCCTTGTCAAGGTAACGCACACTGCTCAACTCCTCATTTTTCTGCCTGTCCTGTCCTGTTGGCATGGTGGATGTAGACGGTATAGTGCGATTCGGTGTGAGGAAGCGTTATTCGCACGAAAGTGGTCGTATTTGCCGATCCCTACAGTTTAATCAACCAAGACATCAGGAGATAATCGACAAATACACAGTGCCATCAGCCAGTCCGTTCGTACCAATCGCGTTAGACTGATAAAACTTCACAATGGTGTCATTTTTTAGATTTTTGACGGTATTGTAATCGCCCGTCTCGATGTAATAATCTGTTCAAAAACCCATATCTTTCCTTTATCAGCAATCGAAAAAACCATTATTCATGCAGACCAGCAGCAAAATGAAACTATCTCTACTAGAAGTACGCACCGCTGATCACCATCTCCCCATCCAGGTCCTTCGTTTAGCCCCTACGACGGCAGCGCTGCTTAATGCGCCCATGCTCTTTGTGCTCTGGTAACGTGGCATTTTTGTTGTGGGGCTGTCAAGCATGCTCTTATTTACTCGCATACCTACTGAATAACGGTATCAATCGGTATGATATTTGATAGGCTTGCGTTGGGTAATCCTGCTGACTACTGGAACAAATAATACTTCATCAAACATGCAGTGAATTAGGCCTTAAGATAGCTATCATTTTGATCGTTGTAATTTATATAAATATGTTTTAATAATATACCTTGTATCACATCTTCCAAAAAAATTTGTTTTTGTATCACGTCTAACAAAATGCCCATGATTTTAATACGAGCGGAGAGTCATAAATGCCCTTTATCGTCTTCATCGCCACCATCTCTGTCCTTTTCTTCTTCTGCCTTCGTAATTTTTATTTCGTTCCACCTATTTATTAAGATGATACTATTCTTAGTCCTTTAAATGCCATTTAAAGCTAAGCGTGACCCTCTTGTCTATTCTAAATACCGATAGGTGTGTTTGCTCTACAATGTGCCGTATTTTGGCCTTAGAGTGATTTCCTTGAAAAAGCTAGTATAAATAATAGCTATCACTAGATGTAGACGCTTTTTCTGTCCATTAACGCATAACTTAAAGGCTAGTAGCAAACGCAAGAGCGTTGCCGCCAATTTTCTTCCCTTATGGTATCGGCCCGTCTTAGTGTAATGAAAGTCGGTGGAGCCGCAAGGCGACTGGGTGATATCATGTAGAAATAACAAAAATTCGGCTTGCGAGGGCATTGGGGAGAAAACAAGTCTACTTAGCAAGTAAAAATAACCCTGTGACAGCTTATTGCTACATGTACTTACTTAACAAAAGAACAAGAGAGTGAATCTAACTAGAAAGGGAGTGAAATTAACAATTTCCTAAGCAAAAGCTGGACGATCATAAGCAAAGGCTGATCGCTTTGTCCATACATACTGCACTAAGTTGATGCGTACATTAACATCATCATACCCATTCTTCAGTCACTGTTGCTGTCAAGATATTTTCAACTTGATTCAGTTCTCTGAATTAAACAACCTTATCTCAGAGGGCGAGCTCCAAAGCTTGCTCCCTATCTTACTACTGCAGGTATTCTTTACTAAGGATGCGAATCAAAATTACTTTACTCTCTATGGCAGCGACAAAGATGCCTACGTGCGCTCCGTGCGACTAAAACAGTTGACATGCTGTCGTAAGACCTGCAAGAGGTACTGACAAATGCCGTTGACAGCGTGCAAAAGGTACGACAATGCCATAACAGCATGCAAAAGGTAGCTAAAGTGTAACGGAGATTAATGTGACAGGATTTTAACCTTTCAATGAGATGTGCTATCTTTAATTGGGCCGCAGCATCTATCTGCCTGCTAAGTGTAAATGATGGTCGATAACATGTTAACCCATAAAAACTTGCGTGCACTCATCCAGTTTCACTCGCGTAAGAATCATTGTGGCAGGGTCAGAAAGTTTGCCCGAAACGATAGAATGTTTTGCCAAGTTACGAGGCACTTCCAATCGGCATTAGCACATAACGAAACAAGCATCACCTTTCGATGCATCGAAGCTACGGCCCGTTCATCTTATACCCTTGCACCGAAAGACAAGGCCGTGATTGATCAATTCATTTTTTGCGGCCACAACTACACGTTGCAAGCAGGACCGGGTGCAAAATGCAGGCAGCGACCACAGTGCTTGAAGTGCTAAAAGGTGATAGCACAGTAGAAAGAAAGATGTACTATCGAAAATAGTACAGTGGATCTACGTGGTGGCACACCAGCAATGTCGACACAACCGATCTTCCAACTTTATATCATAGCAAGAAGACCAATTTCTGGATGAAAGACACCATTAGTACACAAAGACAAAATAAACGGTGTCCAGCACAAAAACGCTCAAGTGCGACTTGGAGCTAACGCTCTAAAGTCGCACTTGTGCTTGGCCTACTTTGCTGACAGTATCCCACACAAGTCAAGTATGAACATGAAAGTACTGACGAATAGTCCAATGTCACGACGGAGAACTCTGAGTAGGCGCTTATAGGTAAAGGTTTCGCGATTAATGCAGGCTTACTGATGAACGTCTAACAAAAGATTGAAGCTGCAAATATTCTCAAAAGATCGAAACCTGTAAAGCTTTCGTTCTCTGTGCTGATGCGACAGACGTCGGAAAATATGATATTGCACCCAGGACAATCTGAGCGGTTTCTCGTTTGCACCATCGTAGAAGTTACACTCCAGCGACTGTTTTCGCCCATCTCCACATGACCGCCACTTTAGTATACCTCCACAATACGATACCGATCCAACTGTCCTTATTTACCCATCAATCTTTGTGAGAAGCGCCTTAATCAACGACCTCCTGATCGTCGTCAGCCACACAAACCCGACCATCTCAAACAAATGCTCAGCATCTCACGTCTCACCCATGCCACTCGGTGTCCCTCCAGCCGCCGCCAAATGACTATGGCGACCGTGCTCATAGCTCGTACCAATCACATGCGGCTCCTCGTACAGCATTATCCACCGCCCGCTCGATCTCCGTCGTTTCTGACCTCTTTGGTCGCCTCTCGATCACCCGTCATCGCTCTTTTTCGACGCACAAGCTCTTCAGCGTCAAAAGCTTCAGCAGCACAGGCAACTGCTTCTTCTGCCGGTAAAATGTCGCATCTCGAGAGACTGAAGGATCTATGGCGCAAGTACGGAGTCGTCGCGATGGGAACGTACTTCAGTTTGTATGGGGCAGTGCTGGGCTCGATATATCTGGCTATTGACCAGGGATGGGTTCACACTGACACTGGGAGGAACTCGATGAGGAGCGCCAAACAATCGGACGAGAATTTTGATCTGGTGTCCACGACGAACAAATTCGTGAAATGGGCCGAAGATTTCGGGATCGCGCAGTACTTGGAGGTGGAGCGTGTGAACGCCAAGACAGGCTCGTTCTTGTTAGCCTGGGTCGCGACGAAGTTCACCGAGCCTCTTCGTTTGGCGCTAACGGTCGCTGCAACGCCGCGGATCGCGCGTTTTCTTGGTCGTGCACCTAAGCTGCCGCCGAAAACAACGGGGGGGAAATTCGCGAGTACGATGCAGAAGCAGCAGACAGTAAAGAAGGAGCAGCAACCAAAAGCGTGACAGGATGAACTGAGAGGTCTGCCGAAAGACCAGCGTTCGAACAGCACATGCCAATATGTGGACGGATGCCAAGCAGATTTGTGACTTGTCTGGAGATCTGGACGGGACAGTCACGAAGGTGCTACCAGCAACAGGGATGGGATTGACGTTCCTGTATGATTTTGCAAACAATGAAGCATCATAAAGCAGAGGTTACGCTCTGGTCTTCAATCGTATTGTATGGTTTTGCTTTTCTCGAAATATACTTGATCAAGTGGAGTTCGAGCAGCAGTCACCATACCAAAGTGATGTCAACGTTGGAGCGGGAGATCGATCCTTGGTCATTTGTTGCAGCTTTGCCTAGATTACGGTTATCGTACTAGTCAGGTCGCCGCAAAATACGTTTTAGTGATGAGCACTTGTCGGAGATGTGACCTAGTGATGATTGCTCTGTGAAACAAGATTGTTGCCGTAATTGGCTAGCATACATATGCTATCCTTAACGCATCCGGCTGAAGACGCCGTCGTTACGACCGACGTTTCCCTGTCAGACGTAAATGTTTGATTACTACCCGAGTTTGCACGAGTGCTAATGTGCCTTTTTAACTCTGTATTACGCACGTTTGTGATGATCACCACCGCTTTCTACGCTTCGAGGCCATCACCGACAGTTCGGGGACCACCTTAAGGCTGGGACCACAACCAGGTGTGCCTAATCTTCGGATGCAATATGGTATCTACCACTCGAATAATGTGAAGTCTTGCTTTGAGGCCACCATTTGCAACTAGAAGAGTAAGTCAGTAACCCCCTCTCCTACCTGAGTGAGCGCGGCCACTTTATTAGGCATGCACATCAACTCTTTATTCCGACAGCTCTACCTCAAGCTTCCGAGACGTACCCTCACCTTGTCAAAACACTTCTTAGTAGTCCACTGCCCTGAGCGGTAGTCCGGCCATGCACCGAAGAAATGTCAGAAGGTTGCTCGGGATTGCGCGAGCAATGGACGTAACACACCAGGAAATAGTGCTACTAAGATCCATATGCTGCTCTAGCAGTTCTCATTCGTTGCCATGGAGCGGATGGCTCCGACGAGATGCTGATACGAGTTCAGATTTTAGAATGAGATAACAACGATCGAATGCAGCACAGGGAAAGGTAGGCAAGTACCATGGCTGGTGAAGGCAGCTTCAAGCAATTCAATATGATCAGCCAGTCTTGCTGGCCGATTCGTATCACACTGTCCGGACCGCGAAGCTGGAAGTTAGCCCTACACTACCATACAAAGCACCTCCATGTACGTCAGTGCTTTCTAGTCTCAAAGTGGCACGACGTCCGAGCTAAATAATGTATGCGGTTCTTGGGTCTTATTAGATTATCACGGTCACAACGGATTGAGATCGGAAATATTTGTCAGGAGCTGAAACAACAAATGTGCCTCTTAGGTTGTTGGCGTCGGTGTCGATTGAATGTCACTCCGTGGTTGGTAACTGCTGAGACACGAGTTCATTGTCGTTGGAAAGGCATTCACGGATGATAAAGGTACTCTGGGTAAAGGTGGTGACGAATGTGAAGTACGATGACCTTTTGCCTCAAATGCAAAATCGAAGCCGAGCTGAGATTCGCTAGGTACTCATCAGTGAAATGTGCAGCGTCAAGTACAACGGACGCCTAGTCTCGCCGATGCAACTCGTGTGAAAGAGGTAATGCTTAAAAATGGTATGAACCGAACGCAAGCAGAAGGTATGTCAGCAATTTTGGACCCGACAACAGACAAATTGGCAAACCAACTACGTGGCGTTCTACGACTTACTACGGTCAAGAATTGCTGTCTGGGCTGTGTGATTAAAAATGCTTTGGGACGTCTAGGACAAGACTGGTCAGTTTTACCTCGCTATGCAACCGACTTCGTATTCTGAAATTTTCTACAGCTCCAGCTCAAATTACAGCGGACGGGCGATTGAGTAGTTTCTATCTTCAGTGACAATCTTCGTCTGCAGGTTTTCAGTGTTGGCACAGAGTCGAGTCCCACTGCGTCACTAGTGACGAACTGCTAAAAGAATGGCAAATCAGACGCAACGTGGACACACGACGTAAAGACCTCGCTCATCTTGTGTGTGTTCTACAAATTCGAGCGACGCTTAGAAACTCAATTGAAGGCTTTCGACAATCCTATTTGTTGCGAACCCGAATAGTGAAGCTATTAGCGGGTGTGCGAAAGGTTGCATGCCGAACTTTGTAACCGCACTAGTTCATGGGTCAGTCCGTCTATCTTTGAAAACCGCGGTTAGGCGTACGTAGCTCGTAATCAGTGCAATCTAGCCTGTCTCCCCTCACGGATAATCAGGCACATCCGAAGTCAATGCTTGGCTGGGTCAATATTTGAGGCAAGAAAGTGAATGGCTTTGAATCGATCAAAAGTGAAATGATCACATGAGCAAATGCTGGACGCTCATAAGCAAAGGCTGATCACGTTGCCCAAGCACACTGTACTGGTTTAATTAAGGCATTGACGGCATCGTACTCATTCTATGTTGACAGCTGCTATATAGTGTTTTGCAACTTGATTCGGTTCTCAAAACTGAATTACTTGTATCAAGGGCGAGGTCCAAAGCTTGCTCCCTTATCTTTATCAACGTCTCTCAGCTCTTCACAAATGTTGTTTTAAGCACTAGCCAAAACTGTGAATACGATTTGTCATCTCCACAGATTTGTGGGTGCTCACAGAGCTTTCATAGTTTTCACTTTCGCTGGAAAGCTACCACAATCTCTATCGTGACACTTCACAAACACCTTCTGTGAATTCTTCACAAATACGGTAACGGGGTACCTCCGATACATGTGTTTTATATGCAGGATTTTTATCATAATATTCATGCAGTAAGTATCACGCATGAAGATTATGATAAAAATCCATCCTATTCTCACAAAATTATTTTTGACAGGTGATTTTGCGATGCAGAAGTAGTGCGCTGTTTATTGGTTGATATCAGTCAATGGTTTCACCTAATAAAGATATGAGAGAAGAACCCAATGAGTGGTGAGCAGATATTTACACTTAAATTTGTATTGCACGGAGCTAAAAGAAGATTCAATGGGATTCAATAATAAGAGATCAACTATACTTAATACAGTTCTACTTTTATACCTTTTCCCGTAGTGAAATTTTTCTCTGCACTACACGTGTACGTGAGATTCTGAGGCACCTGATAACCCCGTGGTCAGCGTAAGCAGCTTCTCGAGTGCGATTACGAAAGATAAACGCCCTACTACAGATACTATTTGATATAATCGAGTGTAAGGTTAAGATTGGGTAGCAAGCTCTGGAGCTCGCCTTATGATATTAGTTACATAGATCGAAAACTGAGTCAAGTCGCAAAATACTATACTTCACCAGCAGTTACTGAAGCAGGAGTATGATGATGTTAATGTTCGAGTCATTTCAGTATCATACCTTAGCGACGTGATCAGCCTTTGCTCATAAGCGTCTAGCATTTGCTTTCACAATGATATTCACCTTTCTTTAATTGTGGACAATCACATGTGCGTCACCAAGCTGCAGCATTTACAGGGAGTTTCTCAATGCACCTAGGCGCAGTGATGAAAGTACCGCCATCCGAATTAAAAAATATTCACATGTTTTGCTTTTTTATGTAAATTAATGTTTATAAAAGACAGTCCACGAAGGTTCTCTCGAATACAGATAAATCAACACGCACGCTTACATATATTTCTGTCAATACGCATACTGTCTGTTAATTAAATGTTTTTGCACGTAAGTCGCTGAAATGCTCGACTCTAGTGTGGACAAAATATTGATCTTGGTGATGCACGATCACCTTCTAGGCGATACAACAACAACAAAGAGACGCCATCCGATCCCATCTTGGTCGACTTATGTAACGGGGTGAATCGTTACATAACAATTTATAAGAAATTGTTAATAGAATATAACTATAAGAGTTAAATTCTCAGAATATTGTCATAAGGACAAATGTTCTGTAGCACTTACGAGTAGTTCCTAATTGGTTGGTATAGGCCATTATATCAACCAACGAAGATGCGCCACGACAGACGCACGCAATGAGTGGTGAGCAGATAGTTGATAAACACATTTGTTTTTAGACATAGTTAGATGAGGATAATTAGTGGTTTGTTAACAGACATTAACTATGATAAATACAGTCCTACTTTAAACTTTAATCAAGTAATCGCTTCTTCTTACCGTCTTCCTCTGCACGTACGAGTGTACGTGAATTTCCGAGGCACCGCCTTATTCTGTCGTCAGAATACGTAGCTTGTACTGTCACCAGTACAAGCTTCAGGGTGCCCCGTTGCACCTGGTAGCACTTTGTTGTCCGTCCAAGGACCACGTTCACATCTAACATGAATATGTTGGATGATGAAGATGACCAAAGCTTTTACGCTACGCGTGACGATTACTCCCATTTGAGCGATGTCGAATGGGATGCGGTTGAACGGATGGGTTCAACCAAGGGCATTCATGCTGTTAGCGTCATGCTAGAGGCTCACAAAAGAGATGCCCAACATGCTACTATCGCCAAGTTCATTCAAAATGAACTTGACGCAGAACGCGAGAAAGTAGCCTTGCTTCACCAACAAGGTTCTCAACAAGCAGAGTTGTTGAAAGAACAAGGTGCTCAACAGTTTGAACTGTTGAGACAGCAGCAGGCTGCTGCTGGCGGGTCGATGCACTCGCGTCGACCCGAGACTTTAGAGATAGACATCTCCAAGTATAGGGGGGTCGAAGAAGACTCCCTCTTGAGATGGTTCGTCGAATTGGATGACGCCATAAGGGCGCGTCGCATCGACGACGGGGATATGCAAGTTGCATTTGCCCAGTCAAATCTGGCAGGACGTGCCAAGACTTGGGTACTGGGGCTCAAGCTGCACGACCCATATGCGTTTGGGTCGTTGGAAGTCTTCAAGTCGCGGCTCAGACAAACGTTTGAACCGCCTAGAGCTGAGTTCAGGGCTCGAACCGAACTCTTGAAGCTCAAGC